GCAGTAGTAGTGGTGGCAGTAGTGGCAGTGGCAGTCGCAGTAGCAGTAGCAGTAGCAGCAGTAGTAGTAGTAGTAGCAGCAGTAGCAGTAGCAGTAGCAGCAGCAGCAGCAGTAGTAGTGGTAGTAGTAGAAGAAGAAGAAGTAGTAGTAGTAGTAGTAGCAGTAGTAGAAGTAGTACTGGCGGTAGTAGTGGTAGTGGGGACTGTGCGACAATAGTAGTAGCATACTATTGTCGGTCCAGTATGAGCCCCTGTTGTCTTGGTGGTGGGGGTGGGTCGTAGTCGCAAGAGTGGCCGCAAGCAATGGTAGTCGTAGTATGTGTTGACGTTCAATGGCAGTTTTTGAGTTTCCTCGCGGTATGGAGCCGTAATACTTAATGTTAATACTTGCAGTTGAAATCCTTCCTGCGGGTCAGGGGGCTTGCCTGTCTCGCCCGGGCTCGACGTCAGCAGCTGCATGTACCTTTTCGCAGGCGACCTGGCCCGAAGGTGTCACCGAGCTCATTCACGGAATCGTGCTTGTGAAACTATGTACGATTTTTGCACAACATGCAGACTGCGAGTGTATGCATGCATACATCAGTACATGTGCGATGTGTACCTGCGAGTCTGAGTATACTGCTGCAAGGTATACATCTGTAATACATGAACAGTTTCGGACTTTTGTGTGTGGACGTTTGGTATTGTGAAACTGCCCTTTAGGCAAGAAAGTGTGCATCCTGAGTCGAACGTTTAGGGCGCAGAGACAGGTGAACATATTCGGGCACACACGAAAGATGAAATTCTGCAGGCAGGTTTACCTGTATGCTCCTGTCAAGTTCCTCATGCACCGCATCGGTATCATTCTCAGGGCTGCCACCAGTCCTCCACAATGGAGCCATCAAGCCTATACCCAAAGCCTATGCCCAACTCTAGGCCTTGCTAAACCCGGTGAGCCTCTTCCACAGATCTCTCAGGAAAGATCCCCATTCTGCACACACTGTAGCACACCCCATAGCCCACACCCGGCAGTAGGGTGGTGAGGTCGGGCATGCTTTTTCGCAGTTGGTTGCATTCGCCGATGAATGCGGACGAAGAAGTACTGTAATTTAGAGCCTTTCGGATGTGCATTCTTGCAGCGAAGCCGTACCAAGCTATCCGGAACCCTATAACTTAGAGCGGAAGCACAGCGGCTCAGGTGAGACCTGCGAAATCACATGCGCATTGGGCTTCGAAGGGAGCGCATCAACCTACAGCTGCACCTTGGGCCAAACATGCAAAAGTAGTAGCTATATGCAGAGCAGCACTGCAGGTTCGAAGGTGTATGCATGCTGTTCATACGCATTTGCACATATTATGTACTTGCTATGTTCCGGAAGAGATACAGCGCTTGCAGACGTCCCCGCATACTCACTGAGACTTATTTTGCAAACATCTTGTGTGGTAGCCACGCTGTGGCCGACATCCAGCATTCAAACATCTGATTGCTAAGCAAGCCATAGAACATACTGCACTTTGCCAATGAAAAGAAAAACAGAGTCCTAAATCCTAAAGGACCCCTAAGCCCTAAACCCTAAAACCCTAAACCTTAAACCCCTGAAGCCCTAAACCGTAAAAAAAAGAAGGAAAAACCCTGAGCCCTGGAACATGAGGGCCAGATCCCGGCTTAAAGTTGAAACCCTGGATGCTGCAACGATGTCAGGTATGAATTCCCCTCTTTAGGGCTTTAGGGTTCTACGGTAATTTGGGGTTTAAGGTTTAGGGCTCTAGGGTTTGAGGGTTTAGGGTTGAGGGTTCGGTCTCCAAGCTCCAGCATTCCACCATGAAAGTCTGGGGTTTAGGGGGTTTAGGGTTTAGGGTCAAAGTAACATGCGATCTCTATGTTGCCATCTACTCGTTCTGATTTTCGGCACTATTGGTGACGACCATCACCATCAATGGCAAGTCTGCAACCCTAATCTCCACAACCCTAAACCCCACACCCCTACACCCTAACCCCTAAACCCTGGTCTCTGGACCTGGATTCTGAAGCCCCCGACAAGCCCTAAACCCCTGGAGCCCCAAAGCCCGGAGCCCACACAGGCAACAAGACAAAAAGAGACTCAAACACCCTAAACCCTAAGCCTTAATTTTACCCAGGGTTTAGGGCTTTGGGTTTAGGGTTTATTAGGGGTTTAGGGGTTTAGGGTTTAGGGTTAACTCCTCCGCCTCGGAGGCGACATGGCGGGTGGCTTCACAGGCACTCCGCCGAGCTGCTCTCCGAAGAGCCCCCTGGCTGCTTTGAAGGAACCCATCAAGGCTCTGAGGGCTTAGGGTTGAGGGTTTAGGCTTAGACTTTAGGGCTCCGAGGGTTTAGGGCTTAGGGCTGAGGGTTTAGCGTTTTGGGGCTTAGGGTTTAGGGCTTAGGGCCTAGGGTTCAGGGCTTAGGGCTTAGGGTTTGGGGCTTAGGGGTTAAAGCTTAGGTTTGGGGCTTAGGGTTTAGGGCTTAGGGCTCCTCTGACTGATGAAATCGTATTGCTGGAGGCACTTCAGAGAGACTTGGTTGGCTCCTCTGAGGGCTCTAATGTTTTGGTGTTCTAGAATTCTAGAACGAAGTTGTAGGCCTCCTTTAGAGGCTCTTTTGGCGGTTCTACAAACAAGGTTGAGGGGTTCGCCTGAGGGGTGTAGCCTCTAGGGTCACTTGCCACGTCATAGCAGGAGAGCGCTTCGAGTCATAGCATGCCAAAACCGCCTTGTCATGTTTTGTCGAGTGGTTGAGTAGTTCGGCTTAATCTTTCCAAAAAGTACTTTATAGTAGAACGTAGAATGACTTCTATTTTATAGGAATGATTTTTATGATTTCGGAAAGTGTCCCCCCGCGACAGTACCCGGGACCGTTTGGGTCTTCAAGCCCCAAAAACCCCAAAGCTCCAAGCCCTGACAGCGGCGCAGCTTTGGTTTCCCAAGGGTGTGACGTCCCAGCCGAGTTCTTTGGCAGCGTGAGGTACAACACGAGCTGCATCTCGGATTGCGCGGAGGCTTTGTATTGAACCACTTGAAGCAACCATCATTCTTGGAAAGTGGGCGAGGTCCCTGATGTAAGAAGTTTCCAGGTAATTACCAGGCACAGCGGCGCGGGCTCGGAAGCATGAGCCATCACACTAAATAAGAGAGTATTTCTATCTCTACATGGGTGTTGAATTAAACACGGGAAGCGAATAGTCACGAACAGTCATCTTAAAGTTTCATAGCGAGAGAAAGAAGCATGCACAAATGGTTGGTAGCAACAGTAAATGCAAGCTGACGAACGTGCAACTATCCAGCGATACCATCAGCAAGGGCAGCAAGGGAAACATCCCCTTCTAGCAGCAATACTTGGAGGTTCACGGGATGTTATCCGGGGTCATAAGTAGGTATCTTTCATTCTGGCCCCTTTTAGGGAACTTGTAGCCCGGCTTATAACTACCCATGAACCTCCACGTACCAGCAGCAACGGAAGCAGCGACAGCAGGATCCTCTATTGAGTGCACAAGAACTGGAAGGCTCCGCAACACTTTTCCATGCCTCCCTTTAGCCGACACTCTCCTGGGGCGTGAGGCTAGCCGACACTTTTTTGTGGCTTTGATTTTGGGTTAAGCCGACACCTTTTAGGGTTTAGGGTTTAGCCGGCCTTTTTTGGGGATGAGGCTTTAGGGTCTGATCTTTGAGGTGTCGACATGACGCACGGGCAGAGCTGCGTGACCAAATGCAACCAAGGCGGCCGGGCTTGAAAAGACATCCCCAAACCGCTTCATATAGAGGTCTGAATACTTAATACTGAACTCAATACCCATGTATCACATGTATAAATAAATAAATAAACATATATATATATCATATGTGCTTATGGTCCGTGTAATCATGTTGTAATTTATCCCAAAGCTCTCAGGAGCCTGAAGGATGGCTGATCGTTTTGCTTGACAGCGCTTGTAGTGACAGTTGACCAAACCTGGCAACCCTGTTCGGATCCTGAACCCTGCATCAAAACCCGCCAGACACCTAAACTGTTTGGGGTACCAGAAGGGGTTCTTTTCGGGTGCTATGGGGGTTTAATACGGGTTCTTAGTAGTAGGCTAGGTAACCTTCAACCCGTTGGGGGCGGGGGGGGGGTATATTCAGTATATAACCCCAAGGGTTTACTTGTAGTTCCCCTAAAAATACTGGACAACTAAGGAAACAAAAACAGTCAGGCTCTGAGCACCAAGAGCAGACTCGGACGACAACCTTAGCACGTAGCATAGCGGATTGAATCAGTACATAGAAGTTTTGTTCCTAAGGCCCTTGGGGTTCCCATGAATGTATATATATATATATACATACATACATACATGTACATGTACATGTACGTAATGGATGTGTGTATATATATATACATTATATGTTCCATATGCTCATACTCTATATATATATATATACACATACATACGAACATAGTTATACCATGTGTGTTTTATATTCTGCAGCCTCCTGCTTGCCCGCTCTGATTGCTCAGGCCCCGATCAGTAGGTGGAGGCTGCAGGCAGACTACAGGTGCCAGCGACGAGCACCCAGAGAGCCCAACACCCCTTAACTAAGGAATATACCTTTTTCATGATACTTGCAGTGCTTCAGGACGCGACTCCTCCGATGTGTTCGAAAAGCTTAAACCCTAAACCCTAGAACCCGAAACCCTGAAACCCGAAACCCTAAATCCTAAAACCCTAAACCCTAAATCAACCCTTGAGGGCTTAGGATCCATCGAAAAGCTTATGAGCACCCTAAACCCTTGATGGCTCTTGGACCATACAGACCCAAGCTTCTGCACCCTGGGCCTTACAGCCTTGAGCCCCGAGCCCCGAACCCTTAAAAAGTCCGAACAAGCAACAGGCTCTCAATCCTAAACTTTAAGACTTTAGAGTTTATAACCCTATATACCGTAAGGCTCCGAGTGTGAGTGGGGAAACCGCAACCCTTATCCCCGAGATTGTTGGTGCAGGATACTCTGGTCTCCCCACGCAGCAGCGCTGCTTCAACGGGATCTTCAGCGGTGTGCCCCCAAGCTGCTCGGGCAACCCTTGCTCCTTCGAAGGCCGATTCCGCTGCCCTAAACCCCGAAAACCCTACCCCTAAACCCAGTCTACGTTGTAGGTATTTAGGCCTTGTAGGTATTTAGGAAACCGTCCCGCCCTGGTGTTCATGGATGGGGGGTCTTTACATTCTCAGACCCCGAGAAGAATGTCGATAGAAAGTACTGACTAGCACTACTAGAAGCAACAGGTCTAGCTATACTTCTTTTCAGAGTTTTCGAGTAAGACGATGAGGCGGGTCACTACTAAACTACTGTTGCTTTCTCTTCTTGGGCTGTGTAGTCGTAGATCGAAAGGTCGGTCTCTTCCCAAAGGAGAATCCTGTCGGGAGTGTTTTGTTGAGGTTGGACAGGTCACTGGACGGGTTGCTATGTGTGTGTGTGTATGTATATATATATATATGTGCATATATGTAGATATGTATGCATATATATATATAGATTAAATTTGGTATTGATATTGTGTGTGTGAGAAGGGTTGTTATTAAGGTTATTCTAGAGGGTTACTTTTCTGGCTTGGGGTTCTCGGGTGCACAGGGCTTCGGGTTTCTGATTTCGTGTTTGGGGTGCGGCTTCAGAGATTCGGGCCGATTTCGGGCTTTGAGAAGGCTTGCTTGGAGTTTCATGAGTAATAAAAGTGGAGTTACAAGCAGAGCAACTATAATCATAGCCCATAGTTGGGGGCTTCGAAATCCACTTACAACTGCCCATGAACCTTCAAGTGGTGGCCAATGTGGAAACGACTTGCCCTGACACTTGAGGTTTTAGGGTTTAGGGTTTAGGCCAGTAGTGCTGCAGATTTGCCTGGCCCTCAGTTTTCTCTCCTTTCAGGGGTACCCGGCAGTTGCAATAGGCCTGGATGCAAAAGGGTTTAGGGTTCTGAACCCATAAGCAGAACCCGGAAACTTATAGCCCCACTTCTAACTACCCATGAAGCTCCAAGTTGGGGCGTGCACTCGGAGAATTGAAGTTTGCATGGGCTGCGCTTGGAACGATCACAATCTCGAAGCCTGCGGTTTATGGTTAGGGTTTTAGGAGGCTTTAGGGTTTAGGGCGGTTTAGGGTTCAATTAGGGTTCGGGGTTTTTAGGGGGCTTTGCGGTTTAGGGCTTATAGGGCGGTTTAGGGTGTAATTAGGGTTTTAGGGGGCTTTAGGGTTTAGGGCTCCTGATCTAGCGCAAAGCATGGGGAGGCTTTCAGCTCGGCAAGGGGGTCAACGCTTCTACCTGCTTCGGTCTCGTGACACGGGAAGCTTGCCCGCGACATGAGCATGATCGGGGTTTAGGGTTTACGGCATAATGGGCTTGCTTTTTTTGGGGCAGAAAGCTGGGCAACTATCCTTGAGGGGGTCTGAAGCTCGTAGTCAGGAGCAGTTTGGCGCAGTATATGTCCGAGGTTTCCTGACAGAGTTAGCTCACGAGCTACGGTGCCGTCAGAACCTACAGCCTTCCCCGGGCTGTGATAAAGAAGCAGCTGGCAAAGTCTATATTGATGGACCCATCTCTTCCGGAGAGGGTGTGAGAAAGCTTGAAGTAACTGTGGATAACGTAAACCGGCAACGAGTGTATCGCCAGTGACTCCAGTCTTGATTTTTCTGTCGACCTACTGCAGAAGTCTGTCAAACAAGTTAAGACAGGCCTCAACCTCAAACGTGCATCGGGATCCTTTGCCTTACGCACCCGAATCTGCAAGGCCCCTGCAGAACCCTAAACCCTAAACCGTAAACCCTAAACCCTAAACCCCCTCAGTTCGTTTTGAGACGAGGAGACGTGCACGCTCACCTGCTTGCGGGGCCATACCATTCAAGGCTCACGGCCTGGGGTTCTCCATGGCTTCTTCAGCTTCCTTAAGGCTGTCAAAATGACTTGCAACAAAGTTTAAAATCACAGGGCATTACTGTAGGATTTTTTTTTTTGGGTGGGGGGGTTTAGAGAAACCTAAATTGGTGTGGTGCTATAGTATAGATAAAGAGGGTTGACTCGAGGATTTGCGTTTAGGGTTGGCTCCAGGTGACGTGTATTGGTTCTTCAACAGGCCTGAGGAACGCCGGCGGGCATCTTCCAGCTTTGGCCTGGCTTCTGGATTCAACGAAACCATAGCCCTAAACCCTAAACCCTCATGAATCGAAGTCACTACCGGCCCGAGGGTTTAGAGCTGTCCAAGCCCACGGCATGTCCTTAAACCTGGAACCAGAATTCTCGCGGTGAGTTGATTCCGTCTTGATGTCCGCCGTAGCTTAGTCTTTTGTAACTTAAGATAGTCTTGGGTCGAAAAGTCACTGCACAGGAAACGACCTCGTCTTGACGTGCCAAGCCAGCGGCGAGTTCACCGCCACAGATGCCGTGTGTGTTCCCCGACCTGTTTGGAAGCCGTTGGAAACACCCTGATGGACTCATATTCACCAACGACCTTAGAACGTTCCGTTGGAAACACCCTGACGGACTCATAGTATTCATATCCTGACGGACTCATATCATAGTAAAGACGACCTTGTAGACCCTAAACCCTAAGCCCTAAACCGTTTCGACCGCTTCTTGCAAAAATCACAGGGTGATGATGGGTCTAGGGTTTAGGGATGAGCCTTGTACCCCCCCGAACATCCAACATCCCGGTGAGGGCCTGAACAACGTCCCTCTATAGTTCTAACATAGCTACATAGCCCTAACACCCGGCTCGGGCTCGTCACCCCAGCTGGAAATTGTTAGAGTGCAGCATATCTCCCCGAAATCTTACTCTGAGTATCAGTTACGGCCTCTATTGAACCTAGAAAACCCCTAAATGCTAACCACACCCCCCCTCCGGGAAGCTTGAACTTGTTTTTGAGGTACCTGCACAGTGTGGTGACCTTGCCTTGGTCTCGCCATTTTCGTCCGCTTCCGTGCCTTGGTGTGGGGGGTTGGGGTAAGGGATTTCCTCAAAAGGGTTGTAGGGTCTAGGGATTAGGATACGGGATTTCGGGTTTCCTGAACCCTTTCAACCCTAAACCCAGCTGCAAAAACAAAGTGAGTTCGGGTTTAGGGTTACCTCTCAACCCCGAACCCCTCAACCCTAAACCCTAAACCCCATGTCCTTGCTAGGTAGCCGGGGAAACCCTAAACCGTAAACCCCCAAACCCTAAAGAAAGCCCTAAACCCTGAACCAGTACCCTACATCGGGTTCGGGGCCAGAGGTCACGAAGCTCGGGTTCCCGAGTTTTTAGGTTTTTAGGGTTTAGGGTTGCAGGGCTTTAGTTTAGGGCTTTCGGGTCTTAGGGTTTAGGGTTGCAGGGTTTTAGTTTAGGGCTTCCGGGTTCCAGGGTTTAGGGTTCTAGGTTTCTGAGGTGGTTTCTAAGGCTTCTGGCTCGGGCTCAGGGATGTTTTCGCCACGCATTGCCGGAAACTGTCGGCCTTAAGAGTACGCGTATCTGAGTGTGGGATACTACGCTGGAGTCGGTGATCTGAATCTCAAGCAACAGCGTCCCCTGAAAGCCCCTGTGTTTGTATGCTTATACTATGAAGATTCCCCCGAAAAACCATATTCCTTTTACAGTCCCTGTGACACTGTATGCTCATGCTATAAGATACCCTCAAACCCTATTCTAATGGCAAGGCTTTTTGGGCCACTATAACCCCTATAGAACCCCAACGGTTAAAATTCCCTTGGAATACCGCACAAGTAAGATGTGATATCCCCAAACCCTATTCTGGCAAAGGCCCAAAACCCTACGTATAAGATATGGCAGTCCTTCACTCCGACACTCGGAGTCTGCGAGGGGCAGACCGGAAGATGAAGCGACACAGGAACACAGCCAAAAACAAAGTGCGGTTTGGGTTTTTGGGTTTCGGGTGCTTATGTGTTGTGTTAGAGGGGCCCATTATTTCAAGTGTGCCGTCCCCAGATGGTAACTCAAAACCTGGCTCTCATAGCACTTCCTAGGGCGATGTGTAAAGCCAGATTGCCCGTAGCTTTGGAAAGCCCCAGGTAGATGATTCCTGCTATGACGGAAATGTCAACAAGCAGTTTGGTGAGGCGGGTGACTCCTCTTGGACCTGGTGGCTTTCAATTCCTCAGATTTTAGCTTTGTAGTGGGTTTGCTTAACCTTTAACCTTTTTTGGAGTATTTAGAATCCCTATATACTCCCAAAGGTTTACCTTTAGTTCCCCTAGGATACCAAATCGGGCTTCTAGGCGTTAGGCCAGGCTTTAGGGCGATAGTCTTCATGGCGTCAATTACAGGATCTTTGGGGTCCTGGGTTCAGGGTTTAGCGTTTAGGGTTCAGGTTCAGGGCCTTCGCTCTGGGGATGAGACCACTTGTAGATGAAGCAATGTACCCGCACAGGCACATATAGGCCCGCACTTACACGAGACGGCGCGAGCGGAGCGACAGAGACAGGGAGACAGGGACCCATAGACTCAAGTATCTACAAAATGGCCATAAAAAATCACCTAGGATGCGCATGCCCAGGTTCCCCCGTTTCGTTGAGAAACATACGAATGCATACATGCGCATGTAGGTACAAACGGGTTTTTGGAACCACACACACACACACACACACGCGTTATGTCTTAAACGAGGTGCTCTATGTTGTTTTTGTTTTGCACTCATCCGTACATGCATGTATGCATGCATGCATGTAAGTATGATGCTGTATGTCTTTGCCTATGTGCGTGTTGGTATCCATTTGCGCACGCGTGTTTGTGTTGGACCGGGGATGCTGCTCCCGCCATACCTTCAAGAGCAGGAGGTCTTTTCAGCCTTGTCTTCGGAGGCGCAGACGACCTCAACCACGAAGTGTGTAAACTCCGACAGAAGTCTCTGGACTTTGGGCCATAGGTGTTTCGGATGCGAGCATGCAGTCGCAATGCAGCGGCACTGCACCTCTTGGGTGTTGCGACCTCATTACTCAGTACGGGGCACACATGTCTTGCCAAGATGATTTTTCTAGCATCACCAGCACCAGCAGCTTGTCAGCATCAACACGCCAAGTCCCAGGCTCATGCATGAAAGGGTCTGACTTGTTGCAAGGACCGATAAAAAAAAAGGTTGACAGGCCAAATCCCGGAGCCCAGAGTGGCACTATTTTTTGACACAGCGGCATGACATTTAAACGGTGATGGATGGCAACAAGAACAACGCAAGCGATTGTGATTCGTGGTAATGGTCATGCTCCTAGCCAAGATTAGGAACACTTCGACAGGGATCCCAGCAAAACCCTAAACCCTAAACAGGTCTGCTTCGCCTTCTGCGCTCCCGGGTATAGCCTTGACAGCAATGCCACACTCCTCATGTGCGAGGAGGCCTTTTTTTTGACATCTCTCGAGTTGTGGGGTGTGGCTTAAAGCTAGGCTTCCAGAAAACTCTACGAGCGTGATTATGAAGCACCTGGCTCTGGACCCCGAACAAGAAACCACTAAGCACTCTATTGAGAGCAAGCGCCTTCTTGATCAAGCTCCTTTGTCATGGTTGGGAGTATGACATGTTGCCCGGGTTCGATTGTAGGTGCAACACCATGCATTCTGAGTTGCTGCAAGGGGTTCCGCCGATCTCCCGGCCTTAAACCCGCTGTCCAAATGTGAATCTCAACACCAGACAAAAACCCAAGACACTAAAGTTAAACCTCAAGCCCGAAAACCCTAAAACGCCTACTATAACCCACCCCTAAACCCAAAGCCCCCACACGCCAAGCTTAAGCTTTGAAGTCGAACCGTGGGTCGGGCCCCAGCCTGTGGCTCGAGGGTATCCATCGGTACGGTTTTGTTTGAGGTTGTGTGCGAGGTGGGTAGTTCTCTAAATTAGGGTCCCTTTTAGGGGGTCCTTGTTATACCTGTGCTGTACTAAAGTTGGGGGGGACCTAGCAAGGGACCCACTATTTTAGAGAACTAACTACCCATGTATACAGTATATGCCCTACTAAATCCTACAACTTATCGCATTCCTCATTGATTTTTTCCTATCACTATCATAAAGAATCGAGACCTGCTGCCATGTGCAATCAGACACTCTAGATGGTATGAAGCTGTTGGGACAACCGTCTGGTTGCTGACCTGATTTCCTAAACCCTATTTCAACCCTGCCTGTGAGCCCTTAACTCATGTTCGTTTAAGCCCCAACAGTCCTGTTCGCCAAACTCCTGGCTAAACCAGGACCCCGCCCCTCCCCCCCGGCCCCCCAAGTAGCCGGGCTGTATCGTGGGTACTTCGGGTATGCTAGAGGGGGTCTAGGAACTTCCAAAGGGTTTGAAAAGCACCTGGTGAAGTCGCGGCATGCAGGCACCTGACAGCAGCGCCGGCTTCAAGGAAATGGCAGGCGCTTGAAACTCATGGCTTTATGACTTAGTAGCCGAAGCAGTAAGGCTTGACACCCTTGAACTGGAAAATGTACACGTTTTGGGCCTATGAACTCAGCAACTCTAAGATGAGGTTCCGGAGGAGTTCAGGTTCTAGGGGATACGGCTGCGCAGACTTTGTTTATTGATCTTCCAGGATTCGGAATCAAAGGCTTTTGAAGGCTTTTTGTGTGGCCTTATTTAATTGGGCATCCTATAGGAACCTGATTAATATAATCCTGGTTCTTGTTCGGGTTCTCACTTCCCTGGATTTCGGACAAAAGGTGTCTTAAACTTCATCCAGGATTTTACATGTTGGGGATGGTGCTGTGCGGTGGAACGAAGGTGAAGCAAGCTGCTAGATCGCTAGGAGCTGCGACACACGATGCAGAGATGAGCTCTGGGCCCACATGCACGCCGAAGCCCTGCGTCCGGGGGGCCGGGGCCTCATTCAGCTAAAACGCGAGAGAGAGAGAGAGAGAGAGAGAGAGAGACAGAACCAGCATCAGGCATCATCAGGCAGGAGCAGGTACTAGGGAGAGGCGTGCAGAGAGACAAAGCGAAACAGAGTGAGAGGAGTGGGTGAGGCGAGGCAAGGCGATTTGAGCTGAGGTGAGTGTGTGTGTGTTTTTGTTTGCAGGGTCTGTGTTTTCGTTGTTGGACAAAGTCCAGCGGTCTCACGTTGCACTGAGATACCCAATATGCGGGGAACGAGCAGCGACTGCCTGGGCAAGCGCACTGGCGAAGGCTGCACCATTAGCCCGGGCCTCACGATGCAATGATGCAAGAAGTGATTTTGTGGCGTCCCTGCACTCGGGGCTGAAAGAGTCAGCTGCGAATTGTAGATTCCGGGTTTCTGCCACATGGGAGGCTTTCTTTAAGGTGGCTACTTCAGTCTGTCGCACGGACACGGACGAGAGTCTGGAACAGCAAGCCCGTCGGAATGCCCGAAGCTTCTGAAACCTTCCAGAATACCTCGGAGCCCCCGGGTTTAGGGTTTATAAGGTTTGGGCTTTGCCACTTTCCCCTCCCCCTTGGGCCATCTTCTCGACGTTCCGATGCTCTTGTCACCTGGCATAAGCCATATAATCTGACGGCAGAGGCTGTAACATGGCCTCTTGCCCAGGAGGTGGCACTATGGTGGACAACGATAAAGATTACGCTGCACATGCTTGTCGTACTATATCATGCAAATCTGCGCACAAAATGCGAGCCCCTGGCATGGGTGTTCGAACAGGGCCTGGGCCGGCCACATTCCTTGAGCACATGGGCCTTGCTAGCATCCCGCACCCAACACCATAACCCCCATGGAGCTGCGATGCGCAGCGACGCTTGTAAAAAGTAAATCTTAAACCGCCCAGGCCCAGTTGCTATAATCCTCAACCAGCGAAAAGCGTAAAGTCAAGCCCGAACCGTGAATCCATATTCCCAAACCTCAATGCTTCAACCGCCCAACCGAAACTCGGACGAGTTTTTCTTTGGTAGGCCTGCGTCAGACTGTCACGCCCACACTTCGTCTGCCACTTTTCAAAACCCGCAACCCCCCCCCCAGAAGCCTAGTACCCAAAGCCGCCAAGCCCTCAAGTCCGAAACTCTGCGCCCATGCACCTGATATCCGCAACCCCTAAACCCTTGCTTGGTGACACGTGCCACGCTTGATCTGAATCGCGACAGACCTTGCCAGGCTTGCGCCGAGACCCTTTTTTCCCGGTGGTGCTGGGTTCCCAATCCGTAAACCCTAAACTTAAACCCCAAACCCCAAGCCCTGAGTCCCAAACCCCTTGTAGGGGCCTTAATAACTAGAATAGAGTTTTTTGGGGGCCCATTGCACGATAATTATAACTATACATAATCAGGAGCCCCCCAGAATAGTATCGGTAATTATTTAGGCCCCTCAATCCCCTAAACCAATCCTTAAGGCCTAAGCTTAAACCCCAAACCCCAAGCCCCAAGCCCCAAACCCGAAGCCACTTCCAGGTGCTGACCTGGGCTTCGATCTCTTCGGCAGTCCATCTCTGCAGTGCCAGGCCTCTCTTTCGGCGTAGGTTGGAGAATGGTGTTGAGGGGTTTAGGGTTTAGGGTTTACGATTGGGGTATTATAGGGGTTTAGGGTTAGGAGTGGGGTTGTTACAGGGGTTTAGGGTTGAGGATTGGGGGCTTTAGGGGTTTAGGGTTTTAGGTTGAAGAATGGGGTTGAACCCACAGGCTCCAAAACCCATACCATACTTTAACGTCATATTAAGGGGTTTCTGTTATAGCTTAAGGTATATTCCCTGTTTACGGGGGTTTGAAACTCTGGGAATGTTGGGTTTAGGGTTTAGGATTGGGGGCTTCAGGGGTTTAGGGGTTTAGGGTTTAGGATAGGGGTTGTCAGGTGTTCAGAGTTTAGCGCCTTTTGGGGGGGTTTAGTATAGCTATAGTGGGGTCCGGCTTAGAGATTATGGGAGCAGGGTTTGGGCTTCTGCTGTGGCCTTGGAAAGGCTTTCGGCCTCCTTAGTGAAGGGCCAGTGTCAGCCTTGTAGAAAGGTTTTTAAGTCCTGGCCTTTCCTTTGGGGTTTAGGGTTTAGGGCTCCAGGCTTGGAGGCATGCTTGGAGGTTCATGGGTAGTTAGAAGCGGGCCTAGAAGTAGGGTAACTTATAATTATCACCGGTATTGGAGGACTTCTCACCGTGAACTTCACCTGGAAGTGTCACTTCATGCCGTAAGCCTGAGATGGGCGGGCTCAGGTGTCTCCGAAGATTCTGTGTCTGTTTGTGGCTGACATTTGCAGCGACATTTTAGTATCACTGCAATCAGCAGATAGCAGCAGATAATAACTTGAACGGCAACGCTGATGAGAATGATGGTCGTCGGCAAGATACGACGAGCTTCGAGGCCTGATACTAACCGCAATCGTTGCGGTTATGAGGCAGACAACCGTGACCAGCCATCCGAGTTAATTTCATGCCCCAACCCTACAGCCTAACCCCTAGGACCTTTTGCCCAAACCCTTAACCCCAAACGCTCTGTAACGCCCTAAGGCCCGAAACCCTGAGCCCCAAACCTTGACGAATGGCTGTGAGTGCCTCGCCGGGCACATCAAAACTTGCCCAAATTTTCAGGCATTGCCCTCACTCTCCAACCTGTCCCTAAACCCTATACGTTGCAACAAGCCAGGCCGATGGCTCCTTCACCCAGGACTCGTGCAGATGTTGGTGCTAGGGTGAAAACGTCCCACATCCCTCCTGCGATTATTCATCATTCAATTTCGGGGTCTATTGATTAGCTTCGAGTTATGATGCCATGAAGCCTGTACACAGGGCTTGCCAGCTCCAGGGTCATAGGGTCTGGGTTGCGGAAGCACCCTTAACCCCTAAACCGAAAACCCGCCCCTACTACTGGCAGCGGTAGAGGGAGTCGTCTGTCATCGTTTTCGTCGTTCTCGGCGCCTTCCTGCCTCAACTAGCTGCTCTGACTGGCTGATGAGCCCGCGAAACCCCAAACCCCCAAGACTGCGAAGTGCAACTTGTGCGTAATTCTATGCTGCTGAGCATTGCTGAGCGATACCGAAATTTAGCCAGCAGGCACTTTGCATTATTGGGTATGGAGGCATTATGTGCGTATAGATATCATCCTAGATGGGCTAGTAACGCAGTATAGCTATATTCACAATTGAATAGCCAAGACAATTGAATTGCCTAATGGGGAAACCTTTTCTACTAGGAAAACATTGTGAAATAGGGATCGGGCAGCGTCTTCAAGCTACGTAGCTGTGTATACATATAGATACATACATACATACATACATACATACATAGAAGTATAGATATATGTACGTATGTGTGTATGTGTGTATATCTATATATATATATTTATACATATAGCATTTTTTGCTCACACATAAGTCACATACAGAAGGTGCATTACACATCTCATCGAATACATTCACACATCTTGTCAGTCCAAGTGATATATATATATATATGTACGTATGTCTGTATGATTATGTATGTATGTATGTATGTAGGTATAATATACATATGTTGGTATATACTTACACATAAAACTTGTAACTAGTACACATGCATCATTGCTTACATACATGTATCCATCCATACATCATGCATACATGGGCCAGCGCTTTGTGCCCAGACAACGCATGCAGCCAAATCATACGGTTGTTGTCTGCCAGAGGAGGAGCAGACATGATTGTCTGCTATCACGTTCCTAAACCCCAAACCCTAAACCTATCAAGTGTGCCAGTGTCCAACACAACGACACGACCCGTTGAGGACCTTCCGACTGTCTCGCCTGCGGTGTGCCCGACACCCAACTACGAGTCGAGTGTGGGAAGCACATGTGCCTTGCCTGCAGCTGAAGCATTGTAGAAGGGGTTTAATTAAAATAAAAGTGTGAATCTCTCTCTCTCTCTATATATATATGTATGTATATATACACATACACACACATACATACATATATATGTTTACATAATTTATAAAGAACAAGTGCATATATATACATACATACATACATACATACATACATACATACATATACATGCATATATACATATACATGATATATATCTATATGTGTATATAAATATAACACATGTAAGGCCAAATAAACTATTGCGTTTTGAGGGAAGCTTAGTGAACGGAAATGCACGAGCAGCGGGGGCACAGACCTGATTGAAGACTAGGTTGCGATTGCATCCGATGTTGAAGGAATGGTGCAGCTGTTGCCAAATCGAGCGTTATCCCAGTTTAGACTTGATCGAGCTCATTTCTGTGAGATGGCATTAAGAGGCTACTCAAGCCTTTGCCAAATCTCATTCTTCTTACCAAGGCCGTATGTGAGAGCAACTCTGAGGCTGTGGGGGAAGGGCCAGGGATCAGCCCAGGAGGGCGTGGACTCCGCTAGGGTTTAGGGTTTAGGGTGTAGGGGTACCCGACGAGAGGTACCTATTCATGTTGTGGGCTGCCTCCTGAACCCGGGTTAGGCTGGTAATAAGGATCTCAAACCCTCGGGAAAGGCTGTAAAGCCCTAAACCCTAAACAAACAAACTATTTTGAGCTAGTAAAACCCATTAACTTACTAAGCCTTCGGGAGAACTTTA